GTGACCATCATACTATTTTGTAATAATTTTTATATGTTGGTACAATTATATTATGTACTGTAGCATTTGTCATAATGACATGACTGGTCCCTATATTTAAGTATATGTAGCATTAATGCTTAGGTCACATTTCACATATTAAACTAATGTCTTATAAAATCCGTTCTATTGTAACTTGAATTCTCAAAATTCAATATATGCACTAAGTTTATAAAAAGGAATAAGTAAATATCCACAAGAAGTCTGAGATTACTAAAGTTGATCCTCACCGACACTAGTGGACCTTTTCCAATGGACATAAGTAGTCATAAATCATATATAACTTTTTGATGATTATTCTTGTTACATCTATTCGTATTCAATGAATGAAATGTCTAAATCTCCTAAAAAGCTTAAAAAACCTTCCGGAGTTGGAAATCAGCTTGACCAGAAAATAAAATTAGTGAGATCAGACATGGGTGATGTATATTATGGTAGGCATACAAACGTCGGTAAAGGACAATGATTTTCTTTAAATTTTGTAAAGATCATCAGATAATTAAATAATACACCATGTAGGTTACTCCTCAATAAAGCAATGTATATTTTAGGAGGAAAACAACCTTATTACACATGGTGCAAAATGTGCCTACAAACACTAACTTACCTAAATGTTTATGAACCAATGCATTAAAAATGGCAGTCCGCATCTTCAATATATTTTCTTAAAATTAGTTTGATATATGGACATGAAGGAAACCAAACCTGATGTATTTAAGGGTTTAGGGTTTTCTAGCCAAAGCAAAAATCTACAATCCTTAATCGCAAAAACATGACATGAAAACCATAAATTGCTTCTCAATTAGGTATTCTAAAAGGTTTAAATGTTAACGATATGTTGTGTTACATAGTACTTGAATTGTTGAAATGAAGCATGTTGGATTTCTTGAGAATGCCAAAGTCAGCAGGAGTGGTTTATTGAGCGATTTTAACCTCAAACATCTAATGGAGAGACACTTATATTTCAAGTGTCCATTATGCTTGGCAGTTCATTAGGAGATTCATGATATAGGCATTGAAACCCATGATATTTAATAACCTATAAGAGATTGGCATTGCAGCCCATGATATTTAATAACCTCATAAAATGATACCACTTAAGAGATTGGCATTGAAACCTATGATATTTAATAACCTATAAGACATTTTATATGATATAGGTGGGCCATAGCTTTTGATAATTACATGCGGCCGATCTTGACATAGGTAAGGAAAATGACCCTATCATGTATAGTGATGTAATAACTTTTGATCAGTCAACTAAATAGAATAAAGCCATGAATTACGAGCTTAATTCCATGGAAAAGAATGATGTTTGAGAAATTTGTTGAATTTCCAAATGGTTATAAACCAATAGGATGCAATTAGGTCTTTAAGATGAAATTAGACCCTAATGATTAATGAGATAAAGTTCAAATGGTCGCTAAAGGGTATTCACAAAAAGAGGGTATACCAAGAAAAGTTCTCACCCATTTCTCGAAATGACCTCCTTAGGATCATACTGGCCATTGTAGCTCATTTTTTATTTAGAGCTAGATTTGATGGATATTCCTCCATAAAGCACAATGTTATTATACTAGGTGTAGCCTTAGAATTAAAACCTTTCATAATAGCATTGTGCTTTAATGGAACTTTTAATTTAAATTATTCAAGTACTTGATTATTGTTCCTCTATAATATGCAACTTTTCTATATAACTAACTTGTACACAATTACTTTCTATATAGACAAATATGTTGATTACCACTTAACTCTAATGTCATTTGGCTTAAATAATCATAAGTTTTATAGAAAACACTAAAGTATGACCAGTAGGGGTCCCGTGTCTAACAATAACATGTTAGGTTGTACTTTTATTCTTTTAGTGTTAATATGAGACAATATGAACTTAACTTGGCCAAAGAAATAATAAACACATACATACAAATAGTCATTCGGCCAAGTGGGAGAATGTTAAAAAAAATAACCCATTAATATGGCCATCAGACTATTTTGGAATAATTTATATGTTGTTACAATTATATTATGTACCGAAACATTTTCCATAATGACATGGCATGTCCCTAGACATAAGTATATGTAGTATGATGGATATGACAATTTGTCTGTAACTTAAAGGACAAAATCTGTATGGTTCTATAACTTATCCATAAGGTGTAATTGATAAATTAAACACATAATTATAAGAGAAATTTATGAGTGGAATATCAATTGATTCATCTCCTAAAAAATAAATTTTTTTTCAAACCCCATAATTCTAAATGTGTAATTCATCTATTAAATTAATCAATAAGACACCATTATGGGAATTGAGAAAACATCATAAATCGTCATCTTCAATATTAAGAGGAAGTCATCTCCTCCACGTAAGTGTTCTTCATTACATTTAAGGTTTATCAAGTTTATGTTAAATTGATCCTTTGATTATGCCTATAAATTTAACATTTGACTCATCTGACAACTCCAACACTACTATGAGTGAGCTTTTCCTTGCCAAACGTTCGGGTTTGCTAATTGGGTTTATATTTAGTGTCGGATACCTAATTGTAGAGAATCATTCCGCCCGTTCATAATTTAACTTTTCATAGTCTTGAGTCTATCTGTTGGAAGATGATAGTCTTTCTTGGTTCTTCTCTAGGTATACGTAATTTTGTAAAATTCTCTTTCAAACTAGGTTTAGACGATGCCTTCAAAAGCCATGAATGGGATCTTCAATATATGGTCCTTAGACTAAATAAGATTTTGGATTACTTGCTGAAATATGCAACACTACATGTCAAAATGAATCTCAACTTTGAAATTGACCAATGTATATCTATACTTTATATGGAGGTTACTATCGGACATGAGATTTGATAAGAGTGACAAGGAATGGGGGTATCACCCTTTAAAGCCCTATGATTGTTTAACTTAGCTCTAAGATGGTTGCCATCTCACCAAAAGAAATAAATAACCTCTTTTTTGCAGATTGCTAATCAAATTGTAAATATAAATCATTGTTTTAAGCGTTGTTTTAGTCATGAAATTAAATATATGGTCTTAAAATATAAATTTTGATGATATATTTAACTGAAATTTGGTAAAAAGACTTTTAAATATATAATATGGTTAGTTTTTATAGCAAAAAAGACAGAACTTTTTGACACATCAACAATATACTCCATATTTTCAGTTAAAAAAAAGTAAAAAGGCTAGGCTTTATAAAGAAAATTAAGATCTTAGTAATCTTTTCATTATAGAGTTTCAACTATATTATATATAACAATTAACAAGCGAATTATTTTTCTAACCTAATGCTACTTTTTATAACTTAATCGGACAAGAAGTTCATATTTGCATAAGTGATCAGTGAACCTCCTTAGAAAGCTTTAAAGGCATAAAGCCACCTCCGAAAGAAACGGAGGACTTCATTCAATAACCCTACGATCGCCCTCTGAACGATCAGGATAAAGCTTGAAGATAAGTTTTGTACTCTATTAATTTCTCAGTCCCTCTAGTCGGATGGGCGTCGGCCGGTCTTTCGACCAGATCCCCCTAAAAACCGTACGTGCGGGTCTCCCCGCATGCGGCTCACACCATTCGAGGTGGCCCACCATTTATGGCAAAATTTTATAAACTCGTAAAGAGAAAACTACATTGATTTCTTAAAACTCCTATGAACCAAAAAGAATGGAAATTGGCTAAATGTAAGCCTCATTACCAAGGTGCATTACCATTTTATATAATCTATTACAAAAAAGCGAATGTTTTTAGTTCCTTAGAATATCATTTTCATCGTTTAGCTCATCAATAATAATTTGCTCTTATTGGCGACACTGATCCAATAGCAGACCTCCAAAAACCCAACGTCACCACCATCATCACCTATTCACTCCCACCCACTATCATCTCCAATGCAATCACTACCTTCCTAAATCACTCCCATACCACCGTAAGATGCCATCAACACATGTATTCCTTCTCTTTTCATTTAATTTTGGGCTTCCAAGTTTATAATATTTCCATTTTAGTTGTTCTCTTCTTTTCTTTACTTGGACGTCAGTTTTTATGCAACTCATGGTTTGAAAGCATCCACAATGGTGAGTTCAATGGAAGAGCTGAATAATGTGACAAGTCTATCTGTCATTCAGTGGATGAAATTTTTGTGAGATGACACATTGACATTCAATAGATTTAGAGTTTAGTGGCTATTGAACTCTTCAATGGAAAAAAGAAAAAAAAAATTCTTAAATATATAATTATATACTATAAATTACATTTTATAATATTCTATTGAACTTTGTAGAGTTCAATGCATTGTAGGACAAAAAATGATAGAATTGTATGGATTGTAGAAAGATTGTGACAATCTATTAAACTCTATGGAGTTCAATCCATTGTAGACACCGGAGTAATCATCAATGTTAACAAGAGCAATAGCACAAGGAACCTGGAGATGTTAAGTCGTTCTTCTCCAGGCAAAAAAGCAAACCATAGTTTTCCATTTTGTACTTGTATTTGATTGATAAAAGTTTCAAATTCTTGCAATTATAAAATTTCAATTGCTTGCAAGATGTCTCTAGCAACAAGATAACTATTTTTTAATGTAGTTTATGATTTAGGACAACGATGTGTATTGAGGTTTATATATTTAGTAAATAGACTTTAATTGACCTGTATGGCGGTGCATGAATCTCATGGTAACATATGCTTGTTATTCTAATTTTGAAAAAGTGTTGGTGGGTAATGTATTAAATGGAGATTGCATTATTTGATCTTCTTAAGTTACCTACACTTAAATCATATATTTTTATTTTCATATCTCGGAGATATAAACGAGAGTACAAGCATTGTTAATCACAAAGATCCCAAGGTTTCCAATTCCATGAGTGTTGATATGTTCATCTTATGTAAATATGCATTGAAACAAAAATAGTTACAAAATGCACATACAATACAAATAAAAATAAAAGAAAAAAAATACGACTTAAACATGGTCAAAGGGTCAATCATACAGAAACTGTCAAATGGCTTTCATAATTCATATCAGATGATGAATCATTATACATTAAACATAAACACTCGATTATTCACAATAAATCTGATCTCATCATCTAACCAAAAAAAACAAAAAACAAAAAATGAATAATTTTTTTCCTCAATCATCTCAACTATTAAACATTTTCATCTTGTGGTGCAGCAGTTGGAGTCACAGTGGGTGCGGGTGCAGGTGCTTGGGCTGGTGCGGGCCCCAAAGAAGATACGGTCAAATGCAGCCCGTTTCTTTGACCCGCTTGCAGTACAAAAGCAAATTGGGCAGCCGCCAATGCTGCAGCCTCCTAAAATTTTACAAAAAATTATTTAAAAATTAATCGCAAACAAAAAAAAAAAAAAGACGGAGTAAAATGACTTCCATGCCCTTGAGAAGAAACGTGGGGAAAATGTTTGAAACGTGTTTCCAAATTAACAATTTAACTTGTAAAAACGTTTGAAATTGTAGAATTACGATTTTGCCCTAAACCCTAACCTGTCTTTGCCTTCGACGCTGCAAAATGTTGATGGCCCAAATCATGATGTAGCAGGGCAAAAGAAACCCCGCAATCCGAAGCAAGAAAAGCTGTCGAACAAAGAAAATTAATCAAAAATTTTAAAATAAAACAAGGGGTATTTTGGTCTTTTAAAATAGTCACACGTCCACTTACAGTTAAAAACGTGGATGCGTCTTCATCTCCATCTCCATCTCCTTCAGAATCAGGCACAGATGACGCATGGCGTAGAAGCAAAAGAGCCATCAACTGACAAAAGATTAAAACCATTTAATAATAAAAATATTTGAAAGTGAAAAAAAAAATTAATTAACATTTAATAATCGAAGGGATTTTTTAAGGAGTTTGGAAGCGCTTACAATTAAAACAACTGAACGACAAAAGGCTGCCCCGCTGGCATTTGTGGAATTATAATCATCGTACTCTGCTTCAAGATATTGACGATCAGCTTCTGAGATTTGCCATGCTCCCCTATTGAAATCACAAAAACGTAAATTTAAAAAATTAATTTCACAATTGTTTTGCTTATGAAGATAACACACAATTGACACAAATTATGAAACCTTGTTTCAATCGATTGAATAGGTTACATGTAAAATGTAGCTTATTCTAGTCATGGATTTGCATATTTCTTTTGGAAAACAACTTTCTTGCTTTAATTGAGTAAAAAAAAAAGAACATTGTAGCATAAACAAGCATTTAATTTTTTTTTAAATGTACATAAAAGGATGAAAAGATTACCCAATGTCTATGGTGGTCTCTTCCATGCAAGGTCGGGGAGGTGGAGCAATATAGCCAGGTTGATAAGGCTGCACATAATAACAAATTTACATTTTAATTTTTCATATAAATGCCCAATTTATAATTATAATTCAAGATTTCATATATATGTCAAGATAACAAACCTGATGGCATATCTCACAAGTTATGTCACCCTTTTCATTGCACCAGTGTTGAACACACTTCCTGTGAGCATACTGCATTAAAAGCAAAGTTATTGAATACATTACAATTTCAAATTTTCAAATTTCAATGTATTGGATAAAGTGGTGGAATAGAAGCCATTAATGTACCTTAAGACTGCCATTGCAACTGCAGGGTGTCTCTAAAGCATCAATGGAATCTTCCTCTTGGCAAATACGACACTCTGCCATTGTTAATAGAGGTGCTTCCTCATCATAAGAAGCCCCATTTTCATCTTCTACAAGAGCTTCTGTATTGGAAGATGAAGGGACTTCCATGTCTGCACTCCTTTTAATGGGTTGATTCACATCTAGAACCAAGTGATCACCCATCTATTTACAATGGAAGCCTGTAAAACAACAGAACGATAAAAGGGTTTAATTAGAAACAGAAAGTAGACAAAATCGATATCATGTGTAAGTTATATATAACCAAAGATCAAATTTTGGAAACAGATTGAACAAGAAAAGATTCAAATAACTCGGAAACTGGATCGAAACAAGTCATGAGTCCAGAGAACAGCACAAGCATAAATACACAAAGTCAACCATGATCACAAAACACTAAAATGGAATCAGATCGAAATCGTATCACGAGATTGAACACACCGAACTCAGTAGAAATCAAGACTCAAATTAGTCTAATTGTGATTATAAATCCCTAGAACCAAAATAAAAAACAGAAAGAAAAAAAAAAGATCGAATTTTGATCCAGGAAACCGATACCCATACATCTGCAAAGCGAATTAGAATTTGGAGGAGACACCGACACGTCTACTTTTACCATGACCTTAATTCGAAGAACCCTAGAAGCTGGATTATAGGGTTGCATTCGATTCCACCAATCACAAATCAAAATCAAATACAAAAATCGCATATAGGGAATGAATTAAAACGAGAGAATGAATCACCTGAAAATGAAGGAGGAAAAAAATGGGTGAGGAGGGTAGAAAATAAGAAGCGCGTGATCTTTGTAATGGAGTCTTGTTTCTCTCTCTGAAAACAAGGTTACTATATTTGCTCAACACCGCGTTCTATTGTGGAGTTACGAAGTAGAAAAACGATGAGAAGATTTAGGGGCGTCGATTATAAATAGGATGTATGATTAGGGTTCGTGGATTGACGATATAAATTGGGTTCAACGGATGAAAATTTCGTTTGGGGCGACTTTTCCCATGAACAGACAACAACTCCTTTTCTTGACAATGACGAAGGATCTGAACTTTTCCAAAGATGGGTTCCAGTCTTCCAGATAATTCTTAATATAATAAAGGATATATGATTATAAACTTGGATTATTTAATATTTTATTTATTTATTTCAACGGTTGTCTTCACTATAAAACTAGATTATAACCCGCGTTAAACGCGGGGAGCGTATAAAAAAACATAGAATTATAAACATATATTACATCATAGGAAGCATGACAATTAAAAGTACATTACCATAGCTATTTTAAATTCATTATCATACATTACAATAGCTATTTTAACCTCATAACAACTAAAAGAATAAATAAATAAAACTAATAAATCATAGAGTAATATAAAATATTTAAATAGTTCATTACAAAAAACAACTATGTTGGAATGCAAATTAAAATATATATAATCACTAATATCTACTTGGCATAGTCACTTTATCAAAATCAGAACGG